ATTGGATGACTTCCCTGCTCAGGAACTACCTGTTGGTTTCCTTTCATACCTAGAACACCATCTGAGCTCCTGCCAGGCCGGTGGCCCCTGGGTTTTCATTCTGTTCCTCGAACTCCACCAGCTTCTTCCCACTTCTGGGTGTTTGCAGGGGCTGTGCTATCGCCCGGTGGCCCTTGACCTGCCTGGTTCCTTCCCATCTTCCCGTTCCTCAGCCCACAGAGCCCCTTCCTCAGAGGGCCCACCCCCACCCCGTCCTGTAACACCCACATTGGCTCCCGTTTCCTCATTTCCTTCCCTCTGGGCACCGAGGACTGCGAGAGACTGTCTTAGTTGGGTCCGTAGGGCCCTGTTCCCCTGCCCAGCCGCATTCACAGTACACACTTGCCCCAGGAAGGCCGGGGGCCTATCCAGCTTGTGATTCTCACTGTCCTTCCGCCTTCAGGGAAATTGACGGGTTGCAGGAATTTGATGAATGAATGAATGAGTGAATGAATGAAGCCTCCTGTAGCCATTCGCAGCCACGACAGGTCGTCCTTTACCACGTACTCCCTTCTGTTCAGGCATGTTGCTCAGGGCTGGCCCCGGATGGGCGTTAGGACAGCTCGGCGGAGCCGATGGAGGGACAGCCACCCAGGGGCGATGCGGTGGGCGTTGAAGCGTGTGTCCTCTGAGGTAGGGTGACCCGCAGGACAGCTGCAGAAGTGGGGAGCTTGCCCCTCTGCCACCGGAGAGCTTAGTTCTATCTCCTGCCTCCGTCGGGCTGCCAGCAGCTGGCCAGGGCCTGGGTGTTTGGGAGCTGTGGATTCGTCTAGTCTGTCCTTCTGTCTGTCTAGCGGCTGCTGGACTGGCTGATCTGGGAGGCCGGTGCTCTGTGTGTGACGGGCCAGGAAGGATGGGGGAGGGGTCCAGGCGAGAGCTGTCCTCTGGAGTCCCAGGAGCAGAACTGAGCCGTGGGTGTGGTCGGGGTAAACCAACCCAGGGGCCTGGCCTTCCAGGAAGGGCTCCCTGCTCCTGCCTTAAAGGAATGTTCTGTGGTTGGTGGGGTCAAGGGTAGGGGAGTCTAGTCCCATCAGATGCTGGGGAGAGTGAGGGAGAGCTGTGAATTCCTGCTAGGGTTTTCCTTTGCCAGGAAAGTGGGATGTGGCTTCCGGGCTGGGGTGAGGGGTGCCCTGCCCTGGGCAGGCTGTGGGGAGTGGCCGCCCTGTCATCGGGCAGCCTATTTTAGCCACTTCCCCAGAGCTGAGTCATCTCACTTAGCAACGCCCCCTGCCAGAGACACAGCCAGCTCTCTCTGGCACGATCCCCTTCCTGGTGGGCTCTTAGGTGTCCTGACCGCCCCCTGACCTGCCCGGCCACCTGCTGGTCCTTAATCTCAGTATTCCTCACCCCCACATTGTTCTGTGTTCAGAGCTTAGGGTTCTCCACCAGCCCTGAAGCCTGGCAGGTCGGGTCTGACTGAGCTCTAGGATTCCAGAGACCCAGACCTGGCCCAGATTCCAGGATTCCTAGCTAGGCAATGGGACAGGTAGGTGACTCGTACAGGCCCCAGCTCTCTTGAGACTTTTTCACGCTGGGTATTGGAGATGCTTTGGTTTTTTATGAGCCAAAAACCCTCCTTCCCACCCCCAGAGAGTGAGACCACAAGCAGAAGATAGCATTGGCCAGACTTTCGCTTTCTTTCTGGGGCGTAGGGCCGAGCCAGGTGCTAGGGGCTGACCCTCGGGTGTCCCTGCTGGCCTCTCTCACCTGTTCTCCTGTTTTTGCCCACCAGGATAGAAGTGGGGGCTGATGGGACCCTCCTGTCCCATAGTCACGATGGCCAGAGTACCAGGCCCCTGTGAGTGGCCACAGAGCTCTTTACCAGGTCTGCTGAGGCCCTGGCTGCTGGGTCCTGTGGTTTGTCTTTTTCTCTGTGAGGAGGAGCACTTCAGAAGGGAAGTGGCTTCAGAAGGGGCTGGCTGCTCACTGGGTCTGGGGATTCCTGCCATTGCCTTGAAACCCTTCCCGCAATTCTGCAAGTTCATGTCTGTGTTCCCACGATTCTAGCCCTTCATGCCCCCTGCCCTGCCTCTCCTCTTTCTGTGTGTGTGTACGTGGTGAATAGCAGAAGTTTTAATTCCATAGCTGTGTTCAGAACTGTTTGCGCCCCCCATCCCGGGGACATTTGGCAAGCCTGGAGATGCTGGAGACATTTGAGGAAGCATCCAGACTCCTCCTCTCTCTGGGCTCCCCTGGCCCGGAAGCAGGCGGGGTGGGGGGCATTCTGTGGGTCATGGTAACTGATGAGGGGCGCTACCCACCAAAGGCCAGAGAAAGGTCTGGAGCAGAGTAGAGAGAGCACTAGACCAGGAGACCAGCCTCTCGCCCAGCTCCACCCTCTGGGGCACAAACCTGGATAAGTCACTTGGCTTCAGTACGCCTATATTCTGGGGCTACCCTGGGTGTCCCTTCCCTCCCAGGTCTCTGAAATCCCAGGACTCTGTGATTAGAGGCAGACAGGTTCATGAGCCCTCTCCATTCTTGCTTGGTGGGTGGCCGTGGAATCCTGAGGGGTTCCCTAGTGTTAGAGTGTCCCTGGAAACCTGGTTTGGTTTCCTTCCGTTCCTACCAAGTCTGAAGCCAACTGCAGACTCCCTTTCTCTTTTTTAGCCACAGAGAGTTTTCCCCCAAAGGTTGGCCTGAGAGCCCATGGCTGGCCCAGAGGGTCACATAGGGTGACCCTCTTCTGAGCAGTGGTGAGGGGATGACCCTGAGGCCAGTACTTTCCATGAGTTTAAGAGTCCACAGACTATGGCCCATGGGCCAGATTTGGCCCACAGCTTGTTTTTATATATAAAATTTTATGGGGACACAGCCATATGCTTTGTTTACATACGGTCTGTTGCTGCTTTCTTGCTATAAAGACAGTATCTTCCACAAAGCCAAAAATCTCGAATCTCTGACCCTTTATAAAAAACATTGGCCAGTTGGTCTAGCTGACGCACGTCTAATTGTTCAGAGGTTAGATCCCAGGACGTGGGCTGGAGGGACGGTTCAGGTTAGGGGTGAAGGAAGCTAACTCGCCTGAGGATTTGGTGGGGAGAAGGAGGAACAAGAGGAGGGAGAGCTGACGGCCAGAGTGGGTCATCTCAAGGCCATCCAGGAAAGTCCTTCCTTGGCTCGGAGCCCAGCCCAGGTCACCTGTGTGGCAGGTCTGCGCCGGTGCCTGGCTCCCACCGCACATCCTACAGGACTTTGTTTGCCGGAGTGACAAGCGTAGGACTGCCCGGGGCTGGCACGGGGTTGGGAGGGGTGGCACTTGCTTGGGGGAGGGAGCCGTCAGACTGGGCGTCAGCAGCTGGACCAGGAGCGAGGACACCAGGGGAGGGGGTGGTTGGAGGACAGAGAGGTCCGGCCGGGAACCCCGGAGCGGTCTGTAGGCAGGACAGAGGTGTTGCCTTCGGTGGGTCCGCTCAGTGGGCGTCAGCGGTGAGCAGGTCCATCAGACTCGCTCTGGAAGCTTGTGTCCAGTGGGCAGGTTACAGCCAGGTGGGCGGGAGTAGAAGGAGGGAGCCGAGTCTGCGGGAGCGGGGATGTCCAGAGTGCTGGGAGGCCAGAGGAGAGGTGGCCGAGAGGGCGTTTCCCAGAAGTGACGTGTCATCTGAGCCCTGAGGGTGTTGGGTGAGGCAGGTGACAGGGTATTCTACCAGGGACCTGCATTTGTCCAGTCCTGGAGTCCAGGAGGCAGCCGCCCAGGGGCAGGGGGCCCAGGGCAGAGGTAGAGGACAGCAAGGAATGGCATTGAGGAGGGACGGAGGCGAGGACTGGTGGCAGATCCAGGGGTCTGCGCTAGGGAGTCCTGGAGGGGTTTTGTTTTAGATAAAAGGTGACGAATGGTCTGGAGAGGGGCAGAAGGGGAAAAATGGGCATCTTCCGGGCTCGTGTCAGGGGTCAGGTGGGATGTGGGGGGCAGCGTTGGGGAGGAGGAGGAAACCAGTGGGGTACCTACGTGGTTGTTCTTTGCGGTGGGAAGGGTAGGGCTGCCATGAAGGTAGAGTTGAGAACTGTTGGCAAGACTGGGGGGCAACAACCCATCTCCCCACCCTTCTCAGCCCTACACTACCAGCTTTAGCATTTGGAGCCGGTTGCTCTGGAGGACAAGGGGACCGTTTGGCTCCAACACAGGACCTCATTTTGGTGCTTGCCAGGAGCTATGTGGGTGGTTCCTCTAGCTTTCAGATGGCCCAGCCTCTGCTGGGGGTCTGAGGATCTCGGGGCCCAATCATCTGGACCCTGTCCGCCCCCCACCCCGATGGTTAAAGAAATCAGGCGCAGTTGTCTTCATCTCCAAGAGGCACAGAGTGAGTCTTCGGCAAAGAGCTTGGCCCCACGGTGGAGAGGTCGCAGGCGGGTTCCTCATTTATGAGACACCCAGCAAGGACTAGGAGGCTGGGGAGCTGGTCCTGTGGGTCCCGGCAGCCCCACCCCAGTTCTGATTCAGAAAGTGAGCCTGGCCGCCCACACACGGGGAGGAGGTGTGTCCGGCAGCGTCTCTCTGGGGCCTGTCCTGTCGGCTCCCTCCTCGGAGGACTGTGTCTCAGGTTGAAGTGTCCCCTGACTGCAGGGATTGAGGTCAGACAGCAGGAAGGACTTACAGCATGTGTCCAGCCCTGGACTGCCACGTGGACTCGCCTGTGTACCTCCATCTCCTCCAGTGTGGTCGCGTTCGCTCCGGTGGCACCCTGGCTTGGGGGCAGACGTCGTTCTCGTGGGTTCAGGGGGAGTATGTCTGACCTCCCCCCGGCTTTGTAAAAAGCGCTCCCCTGACCCGAGTGCCTGGGCAGGGCTAGGGCAGGTAAGGCAGGGTTGAGATGCCCATTGCTGATGGCCGCCTTATTTCACAGGAGCTGGTTTTGGTGGGAGGGTTGAGGTTTGAGTAGCAGCCTCTCTGGGTCACTGGGCTTTTTGGTGCTGTGTGGCCAGTGGGGGTTAACCCTTTGTCTGCTGTTCTCTCCTTACAGCCCTATGATCTCCTCCACGTCACCCCCTCTACCCGCCGGACTTGAGATCTGACCCCCCAGCCGCCTGCTGTGCCCCCGGGAGCTCCCCCGTCATCCCCCGAGCAAGATGCCTATCCTCAAGCAGCTCGTGTCCAGCTCGGTGCACTCCAAGCGCCGCTCCCGCGTGGACCTCACGGCCGAGATGATCAGCGCCCCCCTGGGCGACTTCCGGCACACCATGCACGTGGGCCGGGCCGGGGACGCCTTCGGGGACACCTCCTTCCTCAACAGCAAGGCCGGCGAGCTGGACGGTGAGTCCCTGGACGAGCAGGCCGCCTCCTCGTCCTCCAAACGCAGCCTCCTATCCCGGAAGTTCCGGGGCAGCAAGCGGTCGCAGTCGGTGACCAGGGGGGACCGGGAGCAGAGGGACATGCTGGGCTCCCTGCGGGACTCGGCTCTGTTCGTCAAGAATGCCATGTCCCTGCCCCAGCTGAACGAGAAGGAGGCGGCCGAGAAGGGCTCTGGCAAGCTGCCCAAGAGCCTGTCGTCCAGCCCCGTGAAGAAGGCGAGCTCCGGGGAGGGCGGCCAGGAGGAGGTGGGCGAGGGGGAGCTTGGGCCCCGGCGGAACGGGGCGGCCGCCCCCCACTCCCCGGACCCCCTCCTGGACGAGCAGGCCTTCGGGGACCTGACAGAGCTGCCCATCGTGCCCAAGGCTGGCTTGGGGCTCAAGCACGCCGAGTCCATCATGTCCTTCCACATTGACCTGGGACCCTCCATGCTGGGCGACGTCCTCAGCATCATGGACAAAGAGGAGTGGGAACAGGAGGAGGAGGATGGCGGTTACCATGACGACGGGGACGCAGCACCACACAGCACCCTGCAGGCTCCCCTGACTGCGGCGGCGGCAGAGGCGGTGGCGGCGGCGGCGGCAGTGGCCCCCCCAAGGGCCAGGCAGGAGGGCGCGGCCGGCCCGGACCTGCCCCAGGACGAGGGGTGGGCGGCGGCCCCCAGCCCCAGCTCGGCCCGCAGTGAAGGCAGCCACACCACGCGGGACAGCAGCTCCCTGTCCAGCTGCACCTCGGGCGTCCTGGACGAGCGCAGCCCAGTCCCCCGGGGCCCCGAGAGGGCCCGGGCCCCACTGTCCCGGCAGCCCGACAAGGAGTTCTCCTTCATGGACGAGGAGGAGGATGAGGAGATCCGCGTGTGAGGGGCTCCCTGCCTCCCTGCCCCCAAGCCACCACCCCCCTTCCCTGCCCCGTCCCCTGTGCAGGGCAGCCAAGAGCCCGGCTTAGGTCGCAGACCCTGGACCTCCCGGACGAGAGGCGCTGGTGGGGGCCGTGGGGAGCTGGCCAGGGCTGCAGGGAGCACCCAGCCCTTCTGAGCACTGTGGGACAGGCGGGGGCTGACAGAAGGAACCGGCTGACCCTTTCCTCTCCTCGCATTCCTCCTGTGACCGGTGGCTTGTGGCAGGAGGAATGGTGGTCCCAGGCCCCCAGCACCCCCCTGTCCCTCATCCCAGGTTCATGCACCACAAGCCTGGAGCCCCTCGGAGCAAAGCCGGACCGAATGTGTGCACTAAACGCAGTCCCTTCTAGGGGAAGAGAACAGGATGGGGAACGAAAGGAGGCCTCAGGCTTCTGGAATTTTCTAGAAGGGGCTCTTCCAGGAAGACACTAGAAATAGGTTGGGCACTGGCTTCAACATTGATTTGTTTGTTCTTGTCAGGTTTAAATCCTTCCAGAGTGGTATCTGGAACAGTGTTGTTGTTAGGTCTGCTGCCAGAAGGAAAATCAAATCCTTTTTAGAAAACCTTTAAACTAAGTGCTTCCAAACTTTATTTAGAACCTGTGGGGCGGGTGTCCGCACTCGTCTGTCCCTCCTCCTGCCCCATAGCTATTAACAGTTGAAGGCAGCCAGTATAGAAAGTTCCTGGAAAATGACTTTTTAAAAAATAATATATCATTCCTATGGAGGGATAAAAGCTTTTTTGACTGGATCTCCCCCCCCCCCCCCCCCCCACGCACACACTACTTCCCCTTCCTTCAGGCCTTTGTGCGGGCAGAAACCCTCCCCCACTTTGGAGGGCCCTAAGGGTATATAGAGTTGCCAGATGTAGCAACAGAACAAAACTAGAATGCTGAGATAAATTAGAACATCAGGCATACAAAGGAAAATTTTTTAGTATAAGTATGCCCCCTCTGTGTTTGATACATACGCTAAAGAAAAAGACGATTTGTTCTTTTGAAATTCAAATTTCTCTCTGGTCCTCGTCACCCTGCCCCAGGGAATCCAGTGGGAGTTTGGGTGTATGGCCCAGGGTTAACGGGTGATTTTCCGGTCCTGGGAACAAGCTAACCTACCCTCTCCTGTCCCCTCCCAGCTGGTGTGAGGAGGGGGACCGACAGACGTACCACAGGACCCAGCCTGGGGCCAGCGGGCGTAGCTGCTCTAGTCTTCTGTGTTTTGTCAGATCCTGATCCAGACACTAACTTAAATTCCTGATTTCCGGCCCCGTCGGTGCTGTTTCCAGTAGCGTGGCTCCCACTAGGGGAGGAATCAGAACGGGCTGTGCGGCCCCCGCCAGCTACCCCTCAAAACCCATCCAGACTCAGCGGTCAGCTCCAGATTCTAAACTGTATATTTTTTTCATGGTATTGTTAAAACAGTGAGGAAACATTAAAAAAAAAAAAAAAGAAAGAAAGCCCTTAGGCACACCAGGTGTCTGCCTCTGCTTCTGGGGAGAGCTGTTTCAGGATATGGTGGGGGGAGGGGTGGGGGTGCAGACGGGGTTCCTGGGGCTGCCTGTGCTCCCACAGCGCTCAGGGCCTGAGGACACTTCTCTCCCTGTTCCTTTGGGGTCCTCCCCTGCCCTGCTCCCCAGCCTCTGGAGACCTGCCTGGGCGGGCGGACTTGGGGGCTCTGGACTGTAGTGCCCCACCTGCCACTTCCCAGCTGGGGGCCCTTGGTCATTGGTCACGTAGTTACTTGGCTGCTGCCCTGTGACGCAGGAATCCTGCTGCTCTTGCAGGGCGGGCTGCACACAGGGTCACTGTCATGGTGTTGGCAAAGTTACTTCTAAGCTGCCCGCCCCCCAGCCCAAGCTCCCAGGGGCCCAGATATGTGGGAGCGGTCACCACCGGGACCCAGCGGGCGCCGTGTCGGGGAAAGGGGTTGCCATCCCTTCTTTCCTGGCCTCCTGCTGCCTGGCCTGGAGAACACCTTTCCAGGCAGCCCATTCTCTGTCCAGCCTCATGGCCTGTGAGGTGGGCTGGTGTCCCTGTTTTATGGAAGGAATGTGCTCTAGAGGCCACGGGGTTGTCTTCCCCAAGTCACGAAGTAGTAGAATCAGAACATCATGGACTTAGAGCCCTGTACCGCGAAGGTGCTCAAAGCTTCGTTCCTTCGGGAAGGGAGGTTGGAGAGTGGGTCTGTCCTGGGTGGGGACCTCATGAGCCCTCCGGCCTGCTGGCCCAGCTCCTACCTCACCGCCTTCCCTTGTCCACAGCCACGGTCCCCTTGGCATGGGTGTCTCAGAGTGTCAGCCCAGGCAGGGCCGGCAGCTCTGTGAGCTGAAGCCCCTCGCACAGCCTCCTACCCGCCTGGATGCTGGTGCGGCTGAGTTTCTGGAACCCTGCCCCTCGCCTCGAGCCACCCAAGAGATCTGGTCTTGTGCTCATCCTCCCTGGGAAGCAATTAGAAGCATAATTAAAATGTCTCCCAGGTCCCTCTGCCCCTTCAGGGGCTCATTCCCAGCTAATGAGGGATGTGGCTAAGGGTGGGAGTTAGAAGCAGGGTGTGGTGGCCCCAAGGGGTGGAGGGAGATGAGGTGGGGTGGGGGGACGGTCCCTGGGGGCTGCATCAACACAAGCCCACCCAGCCCTGGCCACCACTGGGGTATCTCCCCTCCCTCCCCCCACCCCCACTCCCACCGCTGCCCCGCAGTGCTGGGCTCTCATGCTTCTTCAGCACACGCCGTTCTGTCCCATTACTGTGGTAAGGGCTGGGTGTCAGCCCTTAGGACCACCCTGTGCCTGGCACAGCCCTTTGTATTGGCCTCGTTTATCCTCATGACCACTCAGGGAGCCCCAAACTGTTCTGCTACCCCCATTCTACAGACGAGGACACTAAGACAACTGGCCCCGCCCCACTGAGCTGGGAAATGGAGGAGCTGGGCACAGACCCAGCCACAGGCTCCAAAGCCCTTCCACAGGCTCCCCACCCCTGTCCCAACCTGGTGATTTGCAATTCAGGGCCCGGAATGACCAGCGGGGCCAGTGTTCTGGCTGAGCAGAGCGGCGCAGAGAGAGGCCGAGCTGGTCAGGGTGTGCCTGGCTCACCTGGGCTGTGTGCCCACGGGAAAGGGGGTGCTGCCTGCTGCCAGGTTAGGCGCTGGTGGCTGCTGATTCACGTCGTCCAGAGGGCCCGCCAGGAAGTGCAAAGGTCCTTCCTGGAGTCCCCCCAGGCCTGGCCTCTGTCTCTGCTGAGCATGACCAGGCCTCACCAGCCTGCAGCCTTGGGCTTGTGTTCCTGCTGGCGTCCAAACTCACCTTTGACTCTGTTCTCCCATGCACACAAGCCATTCCCCACTACACCCGGTGGCACCATGTTTCCAGAACAAAGAAAGTGGACAAAAGGAATAGAGTGTGTCAACACAAGAGGGAGAGGTTCTTAGGATCTTTGAATTTAAGGACCTGGTTTACCTTACCCGCCCCCTCCCACTGCCCATTTTAGAGATGGGCAGACAGAGGCTGAGGGGAAGAAAGCTCTGGCTGCGTCCCGTGAGCAGAGCAGAGACTGAGGTGGACCGGACTGGCTCCGGCTCTGACATGTCAGAAGAAGGGCGAGCCAAGCCCGTGTGCCGAGTGGGGCACAGGGGCTCCCAGAGCCCGGAGTGTGTTAGTGGTCAGGGTGACTGGTGGGGGTGGGGGTTTGAAGTTTTCAGGTGTAGGTGGCACCCCCCACCCATCCCTGGCTCACCCCCATCCTCCAAACAGCCTCCCAAAGGGCCTCGCCTTTGCATACTGGGGCAGGTCCTCCCCACCCCCACGCCACCCCTGCATACACTCAGCGGCAGTGATAGCCACCGGCAGAGTATCCGGGACCCTAAAGACCCGGACGGAAGATGTGGGAAAGGCAAGTTAGGAATAGTGACCGGAGAGCTTGTCTAGCTGTTTCCCCTTGGCAACAGCCAGATGGGAGATTGGGAAGAACGTTTGGGGGAGGGGAAGGTATTTGTGGGCAGATGGGTATCAGCGGCTTTCCCTCTAAGACCTGTTGCTCTAACCCACCAAACTGCTGTTCTCCAAGAATGGAGACTCCCAGGAGGGGACCAGCGGGGCCAGGGATAGCCGCCTTCCCTGGCAGGACTCTAGCCTTGAAATGACCCCTTGGCACGTTATAAAATACCCGCCAAGGCCACAGGGCTCTGCTGAATTTTGTTTTGTTTTTCTGCCCCGCTTTGTTGCCAAAAGGATCAGAGGCAGCTTACAAAAATATGGAAAATACAATAGGATAAAAATAGATCAGCACGAAAACAGGGCTGGAACAAACAGTACAGTGAACCAAGACGGTGGTATGCAGAAATGTGCTCCGGGTGGGCCTCCCCAGTTCTCAAAGAGGGCCTCCCCAGTTCTCAAAGATGGGCTGCAAATTGGACCCCGAGCTTCCCGTCAGTCAAAGTGAAAAGGGAAATCCGCCCGTTACAAAACACACAAGTCTGCAGGGATACAACGATCCCAGAAACAACTCCTGCTTTTTCTAGGGTCTGAGAGGGGTGCTTGTGAGGTCGTTGAAGGAGCCGGGAACGGGATCTCAGGCAGTGTTCTCACCAACAGCCTCCTAACCCATGCACTCACACCAACCCCATCAGGCAGACTTTCTGCTCAGTGTCAGTTGAGTGCTTGAGGCCGAGGTGCAGATCTGTAAAATCAAGTCTATGGAGAGGGCCAGACCTGAGTGACCGAGTCACTCATCCAAGACATGTCATTGAGATTCTTCCAAAGCAGGGTTTCTCAGCCTCAGTACTATCGACATCTGGGGACTGATCGTTCTTTGTTATTAGGATCTGTCCTGTAGGAGGCTGAGTGACACCCCTGGCCTCCACCGCCTAGATGCCAGCAGCATCCCCCCAGCTATGTCAATCCAAAATGTCCCCAGACATTACCACGTGTCCCATTGGAGGCCAAAAACCCCTGCTTCTACAAGGAGTGCTGAGACACCTTTTTTTTTTCCCCAATAAGGGCCAATTTAAGACGAAAGTGTTTTCAGGTCACGTGTTTTTTATTCAACATGGAAAAAGGTTTATAGAGTCCCACGGGGAATAAAATGTATCTTCTTTTTTTTTTTTTTTAAGATTTTATTTATTTATTTGACAGACAGAGATCACAAGTAGGCAGAGAAGCAGGCAGAGAGAGAGGAGGAAGCAGGCTCCCCGCTGAGCAGAGAGCCCGATGCAGGGCTCGATCCCAGGACTCTGGGATCATGACCTGAGCCAAAAGCAGAGGCTTTAACCCACTGAGCCACCCAGCTGCCCCCAAAATGTATCTTCTTGCATCTTAAATTAGCCACTTTCCTGAGCGAACTGGCAGGTCTCTAGCCAGCAGAACGGTACTCAGAAGGCACTGAGAAGTACCGCACAGCTTTCTGATCCCCACCCCCACCCCCGTGGGGCCAGACTGAGCAATGCACTGAGAAGGTGGTACCTCCCAGCTTGACTTGGAAGATGCTCCTTCGGTGTCATTTCTTGCAACGGGGGCTCCATCCCGGCCCCCAGAAAGTGACATCAGGGCTGCCTACAAGTTTGGGGTAGTGTTCTCTGAAGACGGAAATGGGCAGCACGGATTCACCTGGTGATTGTTGAGCACCTGCTGTGTGTCTCGCTCTTTGAGTTGCTTAGCGACGGTGAGAGTACGCAAGGCAGTGGACAAATCAGACACAGCCCCAGGGCAGCGCTGTGGCTTTCCTGGGCTTCTCCTCCGTAGAGATGGTTTGAATTAGGTTTATGACCG